AACTAGAGAAAAAAAATCCATGCAAACTCCCATCTGACCACCTCAACTCAAACGACCTTCATTCCTTTTACTCTTTTACTGGAGTAAAGTCTTCCCTGGACTTCATCATCCTCTAGTACATATCTACTTGGCAATCTGCAATACAACATCCCCACTATTCTCCCAACTCCTATCCTTCTAGCTCTCACACCCCCAAACCCCACTGCTCTTTGATTAAATTGGTGCTGCTAATTCTTAACCCTTTCATCTTCTTCCAATCAATGAAAACTACTGGCTTTCCTTCTTTGGAAATCCAACCTAGATATCACAATCCACCATCATTGTGACCACTTTTCCTGCTAAGACTCTTAAGTGTTCCAAGTCAATTTCTCCTCCACTTCTCCAAAGTGATCCACTGCTCTTCTCAAACTTCCCACCCTCTTCTTTCATTACTTAATACACCTAGCAACAAGCTTGTTTAATATCTTACCAAGAAAATAGAGGCCACGGAAAACTGCCCACAACTTCCCAACTCTCCACTATGACCCTCATTCAAATTTATCACATTCAAACCCATTTTTTTCCATTGTCCTTCCTATCAGAAGACGAGGTGTCCCTTATCAAATTAAAATCCCATTCACACACTTACGCCCTTGAAAATCCAGCTTTCTCAGGGATCTTGCTCCAACAAGCTCTCCCCTTCTCTCCTGTCTTAACCTTAGTCTGCCCAACCGCCTCTTTTCCTTTAATGCTGTTCTTTCCCAAAGTTCCTTCTTCAGTCTTTATATTCTTACTCTATATGTACATTCTGACCCATCTCATCCATTCCTGTGGCTTCTAATATCATGTATAAGTTGATACTCCTAAATCTGAAATTCTAGACCTCCCTCTTAAGTTTCAAACTATCATTTTCAAACACCTACTGGTCAGTTCCACTTGGATGTCACACATAAATCTTAAACTTAACATATTCATGTCTATAAATTTTCCCCCAAAACATTTCCTTCTCTTATATTCCTTCCCTTAGTGACCTACCTAGTTTCCCAGCCAGAAGAAACCTAGGAGGCAACACATATTTCTCTCTCACTTTATATAAAAAGTTGCCATGCCTTGATAATTTTACCTGCTAAATCTCTTTTCAGTCCATACTCTTTCTTTCACTACTGTCTAACTCGGTGCAAGTAACCTCATGGCTATGTCTACTACTACCTCAATACAGGCAATTATCACTTTTTAAAATTTGCTCTCATGCGCACCACCCGAAGGATGGACATATTGGAAACTCGGACTTAGGGGGTGAGGGGGTGGGCAAGGGCAACATACGTAACCTAAACATCTGTACCCCCATAACATGCTGAAAAAAAAAAAAATTTGCTCTTTGCCTCAATCTCAATACCCTCTAGTTAATTCTTCCTACCAATAATGTCAAGGCAATGCTACTAAATATAAATTTGATCATGTTACTCCCTCTCTTAAAAAGCTCTGACTCCCAATAATCTTCAGTATGAAATTTATTTTACATGGAATATAAACAACACGTACCACTTCCTCTGCTAGGAATGACTGCCCCTTTCCCAACTTCTGCTGGCTAGCTTCTACTCATTCTACAAAACTCAACTCGAGAATTAAAAACTTTCTCTAACCACATTTCCAGGCTCAGTTTGCTCCCCCTCATCTGTGCCTATAAATAAGAAATGATCAAAAGGTTCTTATTCATGAAATACATAAACGTAAAGCTTCAGAGGTCACTGCCTCTGATGGCCACTGAGGAGGAATTATAAAGACGTGATTGGCCGGGCGCGGTGGCTCACGCCTGTAATCCTAGCTCTCTGGGAGGCCGAGGCAGGCGGATCCTTTGAGCTCAGGAGTTCGAGACCAGCCTGAGCAAGAGCGAGACCCCGTCTCTACCAAAAATAGAAAGAAATTAATTGGACAGCTAAAAATATATAGAAAAAATTAGCCGGGCCTGGTGGCGCATGCCTGTAGTCCCAGCTACCCGGGAGGCTGAGGCAGGAGGATTGCTTGAGCCCAGGAGTTTGAGGTTGCTGTGAGCTAGGCTGACGCCATGGCACTCTAGCCTGGGCAACAGAGTGAGACTCTGTCTCAAAAAAAAAAAAAAAAAAAAAAAAAAAAGATGTGATTACAGAAGGCTTGAAAGTAACTTTTAAGGCAAAGAAAAAAATTTTTCGTATACATTTTCCCAAACAAATTAGCTAGTACAGTTATACTAAAAAAAGTTATGCTGCTAAAGCATGAAGATTTATGTTTAAAGACTAAGAAAAGTGAACAGGAAAAAAAAAAGAGCAAGTTTATTGCTGGTATTACTTAATCACTACCTTTATTATAAAATGACAGAATGAAATTATAGCCACTACAAAAAAAATTTATAGCCAAGCACTACAGCCATAAAAAGCACAAATTACTAAAAACCTGAAATAAAGACTAAATATAACATGTAACAGTTCATTCTAGCTTATTTAAAAAGTATTGGAGGAGACATCCCTTCCAAACGACATATCCAATTAGAAATATATTAAGTTCTTGAGTAGCCTTATAAATAGTTCAGAATGAGTATTTTTCAGCTAATGGCTGTGAAGACGCTGGGAGAGTATTAACTAGCAAACCAATCTACAGATGGAAAAGCTTCTTATACTTAGAAACACTTTGCCTTAAGGTCTACCTAAACACCCACAGAGAAAAAACCAAAAACATATATTTCCTTCAAGAACAAAAGTCCAAATTTGGCATTGCTATTAATTCACCATGGAAAACTTAATTCAACCAAAGTATCTCTTGAAAGTCAAAGCTTCCTCCTCTCATAATTATTAGGCTAATTACTTCATCCTTGTTTTAAACCTATGAGTCAAGATCATTTTTCAATTCCTAAAGTAGAGCCCTAAGCAAATGTCATTGGATGAGGAATCTAGATTCTTTCATTCAACAAATTCTTATGGAGCATGTACCATATACAAAATTATGTATCAGAGATAATCACAACAAGAATTATTTTGCAATTATCCCACAGACCAGGTGCAATTACTAAATATCTCTCTAGACACTGTTTAAGTAAAAACAAATGAGCATTTATTAAAGTTCTCAGATTAGGAATGGTTTGAGTTCTAAAACTTTGTAAGCTACCTGTTTGGAACCCCAAATGTATTTTCCAATAGAAATAATGTAATAAATGGCAATTAAATTTCCAACATACACCACAAAGGCATAAAATATAGAGGAACCACAGTTTTTATATGAATTCTTAGAAACGGGAATGGTTTGTTCTTATAAATTATTGTTGAAATTTAAAATAGGATTTGATATTTTCTAAATGAGAACATTTCTTTTACAGTTAAAATGACCTTAATCTTTAAAATTCTCTAAAACAGCCTAATTCTTTAAATTTACTTGTTAATAACTTTCAACAGATGATATAAAGAAAACAATGAAATCAATATCAAAACAAATTATTGACTATCTGAAATAAAATATATCATAATGGCCGTCTTTCCAGAAGTAGCACATCTGGTTTCCATCATGGGGTAATGTTTGTTTACTTTATTAATAGATGGAACTTGTTGAAGACTGACAGAACCAAAGGAACCAAAACACTTAAAGGAAAGTTAAGATTCCTCACAAGCCTAAAATCCAAACTGTATTGGTCAAGTTCTTTTTTTTTTTTTGAGACAGAGTCTCACTCTTTTGCCCGGGCTGGAGTGAGTGCCGTGGCGTCACCCTGGCTCACAGCAACCTCACACTCCTGGGCTCAAGCGATCCTCCTGCCTCAGCCTCCCGAGTAGCTGGGACTACAGGCATGCGCCACCATGCCTGGCTAATTTTTTCTATATATTTCTTTTTCAGTAGAGATGGGCACTCACTCTTGCTCAGGCTGGTTTCGAACTCCTGAGCTCAAACAATCCGCCTGCCTCGGCCTCCCAGAGTGCTAGGGTTACAGGAGTGAGCCACCGCGCCCGGCCTGGTCAAGTTCTTATTACAGAATCTTCAAAATAATAAAGGTAAACCATTTAAATCAGTATAAATATGAAATTCTTTGGTGAATTTTTAGGGCAAATAGTAAATAAAATTTCAGGTAAACCGAACTACATTAAATAGGAATAAAAATAATTACTTTTACAATATCACCAAAATGTCTGATTTCAAAAATGAGGAAAAAATTGAGCAGAGTTTTTTAAAAAATTTAATACAATTAAAATGGCATCTTAAAAGAAAAAGCCAATAGTAACTAAATTTTTGAAATTTCAACTCAGGAACTATTTGGAGTATTTAATTTGTATATATTATTAACTTGAGCCTCTTTAATAATAGCCTTTTGTTCTGACGACTTTTCCATACATAATAAAACCACTGTTTAACCCTATTTTACAGCTGAAAGAAAAGTGAAGCTCAAAGACTTTAAGATGTATTGCTAGAACTCAAATTATTTCTTTTGAATCCAAACTTCCCACTACAGTATTGCTCATAACAAAGTTTAACATGGTTACTGTGGGCTTCAATATTTGTCATAAATCAGGTGGTTCTGGATAGTTCATGGGACTGATAACAGAGTTAAGCTAAATGAATGACACCTGCTAAGAAGGAACGTTGTTTCCAATTGAGTGACATTCTATAAAAGTGAGGAGTGTAGATTTCACCACAAGTGGTGGATATTAAGTTTTAGGAGCAACAAACAGACATTTTTCAATTCTGGCTTGGCCAGTTTCGAGTCTGAAAAAGGCCAGAAAAGGTGAGTGTACACAGCACACCTCGTTGAATTAACTGAATCGGTTCACTCCACGAACTTCATTCCTAAACTGCGAGGGCAGCAGAGTGGAGAAAATAAAAACGCCTCAGTCCTCCCCAACAGAAATTATAAAAAGCGCTTGTGGAAACAACCCACCGACTCACAAGTCTGCAAAGGTGAGGGCCAAATGAAAATTAGACAAGACTGGAGGCTGGGGTTGAAGGGTTGGGTCTAAGTGGACCAGGCATGCTCACGGTGCCTTCTCCTGACGTCGCCTGAAGCTTACCTCCTTGACAGGTGGGAATTTCTTCTTACACTCCAGTGACAAGGCCCTCAAGTCGCTCTGCATATTCTCCAGCAGCTTCTTCACTGCCTCGGGGCTGTTGGTGCCAGACATGATCCTCCAAGGTCCGAGCCAATTTCTGAGAGGCACAAACAAGCTCCGGCACTGTCAGCTCCTTGGGACGACAGGCAGCTCCCTCTCCGCGCTTCTGGCCCTTACGTAGCCCGCTCCTTGGGCTCCTCAGGGGTTCTGCCGGGCCTGAGCTGCGAACTCGGAGCGTGTCCGAGCGCCCCCCGCAGCCTCCTCGCAAAACCTCCGGCTCCTCTCGGAGGAAATCCCGCAGTCGCCCCGCCTCGCTAGGCTCCTCCGGCTCTGGCCGAGGAGCCCACAAGGCGGGCAGCTCCCTCCCGCTGCCGCGGGGCCCGGCCACACCGGGCGTCACCAGCCAACCTGGCAAGAATCGTCAGCTTCGGCTCCCCAGGGCCCCCAGACTCGCCGACGCCATTAGCCGAGTCGCCCACAATTCCGAGCGCTGCCGGGACACGTCAGCGGCACTTCCGGGCACCGTGGCCACCGCCCCCGCCGCGGCCAACCCCGGCGCAAGCAGCCGACGGGGCGTAGCCGCGCTCGGCGCAGGCCCAGTTCCCGGCCAGGAGCGTTTTCCCCAGCCTCACCCGCGGCATCCAAGTAGGCTAGGGGCAGAGTTTTAGCTGTTAAGATTCGCCTCTTTTTCGGTGACAAGTGCTTGAACAGACCCCCCTGGCTCTGTTAAATTGTATTTCAGTGTAAACAATTTGCTTCCTTTGGGATTCATCTTAATTTGTCTTGTCCCTTTTTATTTCTGCCTCCTCGAATCTCTGGACTAGTGGCCCCAAGTCAAAGCCTACCACTTGTTATTTTTTTTTAAAGCTCAACTGGTGCACATACTGCGTAATAGTCCCTTATTTTACTAATCTGTAAAATGGAACTGCCCTCTGCCCCAAACCCTCCCGCTGGCTTCCTATCTCAAAGTAAAAGCCAAAGTTCCTCCCATCACCTACCAGGCGCTACGCTATCTGTCCCGCCCTCTTTACCGCCTGACTCTCTGCTAAAAGGAAAGTTTCAGAAGTGTTGGACTGCTTCTCCCCCCACCCCCATTTTGTTCCCTGCTGTATCTCCAGCGCCTGACATATAGTAAGTAATCAATAAATATTTGTTGAATGAATGAATACCCTACTAAAAATCAGAAGGTTTTGAGGCTCAAATAAGGAACATATGTAAAAGCATTCATTAGGTCTGAAGTGCCAAATAGATGTGAAATGAAAGCCAAACAGAAAAATCTTCATCTGTGCTTCTCCGAAGACCCAGGTTAGTCTACTTCTGCCCAAGACATTTTTCAACTGCTGAGCAGGAAGCAGAGAAAGGTAGAGAGGAAAATAGGGTAGAGGTAGGAGATGAAGAAACCAACACTTTCAGACAGCTAAACTGATGACACCTTTACAGGATGGAAGGTAGTGAACCATGAGATTGTCAGTGGGCGGCGCTGTTTGGCTGTAAAATGAGAGGATGTTTTAAAGGGTACTTTGTAAACTATATAATTTCATTTTTTCCCTTCTGATAATATGCAAAGCAAGGATGGATAAAGGTGGCAGATGAAGTAATAGTAGTAAGCTCCTAGAACAGTAATTTGGATCATTTGTGCCTATTACACAACTTTTGGGAAACTTGACAGCTCCTATGGCATAAGCTTTATGTGTGAAAACCTGTGAATTTAGCAAAAAAACTCAGATGGGATATATGACAGATATTATTCTTGGGGTCCCAGGGAGTTTTAAAAAATGATCCTTTAATAATTGGCCCAGTAATCCAGGATCAAGTTCTCACTCAGTGGCTTTCACTGTGTAGCCAGCTTTTCTTTTGAATTTTTATTATTGGTAACTTCAGCATGATTGACTCAAAATCATCTTTAGTCTTTTACATCTCAATTATATGGTGTTGAGGAAATGCAATTGAAATTCGTTAATTTAAAATAATACAATGATTTGAAAAGCCAATTTTTTTTTTAAGGGTCTCTCTCTGTTGCTCCCAGGTAGAGTACAGTGGTGTCATTGTAGCCCACTGCAACCTCAAACTCCTGGGTTCAAGAGATCCTCCTGCCTGAGCCTCCCAAGTAGCTGGGACTACAGGCATGCGCCCCCACACCCAGCTAATTTTTTTCTTTTTTTTCTTTTTCAGTAGAGATGGGGACTCACTCTTGCTCAGGCTGGTCTTGAACTCCTGAATTCGAGGGATCCTCCTGCCTTGGCCTCCCAGAGTACTAGGATTACAGACTTGAGTCACTGTGCCCCACCCTGAAAAGTCAAATTTTTTATTAATGTATAACAATTACCCATACCTAGTATTCTGTAACTTTGAAAAAAAAATAGCCTTCTAGTAAGATTGGCCTCTATCAAAAAATCCCAAAACAACAAATGCTGGCGAGGATGTGGAGAGAGGAACACTCTTACACTGCTAGTGGGACTGCAAATTAGTGCAGCCTCTGTGGAAAAGAATTTGGAGATACCTCAAAGAGCTAAAAATAGAAATACCATTCGATACAGCAATAGCACTATTAGGCATCTACTCAAAAGAGCACAAAACATTCTATGATAAAGACATCTGCACCCGAATGTTTATGGCAGCACAATTCACTATTGCAAGGATGTGGAAACAACCCAAGTGCCCCTCAATCCATGAGTGGATTATTAAAATTTGGTATATGTATACAATGGAATATTACTCAATCATAAGAAACGACAGTGATCTAGAACCTCTTATACTTTCCTGGATTAAACTTAAGCCCATTATCCAAAGTGAGGCACCACAAGATCGGAACAATGGGTTCCACTTGTACTCGCCATCAAATTGGTACTAACTGATGAACACTAGGGTGATCACATGGCAGTAATGCCCTCCAGGGATTAGGGGGATGGGGGGGTAAACTCGCAACTAAAGGACACGGGGGGAGCATTTTAGGGGGAAGGGCATGCCTTTAACCCTCGCTTGGGTGAGGCAAAGACATAAAGTGTAACCATAATGTTTGTACCCTCATAATACCCTGAAATAAAAAAAAAAATAGCCTTCTGTGTACATATGCCAAGAGAGATTGTACTGCCCAGAAACAATGCATGTCTTTATGCCCAAAACAAGCAAGTTATCAGAGGTAAAAATAATTTTTTATTCTACAAGTCAAAAAATCAACTAAACTTTGGAGTTAGCATTCCAAAAAACAGAATAACTTCTCTTTTAGTAGCAAAGACAAATATTCAGATATATATTTTTGTACTCGGTGTTTCAAGAAACACTTTCAGATCCTATTTCGAGCTGTGACCTGACTTCGGAAGGCGTAGGGAGATCTGGGAACAACCCAGAAGCTGAAAAATGTGTCATCCATCTCCTTTGAACATGTGGGATGTTTCAGGATTCAGTGACCTTTGAGGATGTGGTTGTGACCCTCACTCAAGGGGAGTGGGCTTTAGTGAATACTTCCCAGAAGAGTCTCTACAGAGATGTGATGCGGGAAACCTTGAGGAACCTGTCCTTTGTAGGAATAAAATGGAAAGACCAGGACTTTGAAGATCAGTACAAAAAGCCAAGGAGAAATTTAAGACGTTATTTGGCAGAGAGACTTCATGAAAGTAAGGAAAGGTGTCAAGGTAAAGAAACCTCGAGCCAGATTCCAGAGTGTGTTTGGAACAAGAAAACTGCTTCTGGAGTAAAAAGCACGTAAAAACAGTGTGTGCAGAAGAATCGCCGTGAGTCATTCATTTCACAATAGGCACATCAGAGATCACAATGGACATGAAGCAGATGAATTTAAGAAATCTGGAGAGAAGCCATATACACATGACCAATGTGAGAAATTCTTCAGTGATTACTACTCTCTTCCAACATATGAAAGGCCTCACACTGGAGAGCAACCCTATGAGTGTAAGGAATGTGGAAAAACCTTCATTTCATTGAAAGGTATTCGAAGACATATGGTAATACACATGGGAGGTGGACCTTATAAATGTAGGCTTTGTGGCAAAGCCTTTGATTATCCCAGTTCATTGTTTATACATCAAAGGGTTCATACTGGAGAGAAGCCCTATGAATGCAAGCAATGTGGGAAAGGCTTCATTCATCTGACTCCCTTGCGAGAGCATGGAAGAATTCACACTGGTGAGAAACCCTACGATTGCAAAACGTGTGATAAAACCTTTATTTATCACAGTTCTTTTCAAACTCATGAAAAGAAAGTACACGGGAGGGAAACCTTATTAATATAAGAAATGTGGGAAATCATTCACTTGTCTTGTAAAGGTTCAAAGACAGGATGATGCATACTGGAGTGGGACCTTACAAATATAAGATATGCCTTACATACAAAGGGAAAGCCTTTGATTTTCCCATGCAGTTCAAATGCATGAAGGGACATATACTGCAGAGAAACCCTATGAATCTAAGCAATGTGGGAAAGGCTTTAGCAGTTTCAGTTACTTTCAAATGCAGGAAAAGTGAACCTACAGAGAACCACTATGAATGTAAACTATGTGATTTCTCTTTAGACATCCCAATTCTATTCAAAATCAAGAAAAGTGTCACACTGGAGAGAAACCCTGTGAATTCAAGGATTGTTGGAAAGCCTTTACCTGTCTCGCAAGCCTTTGAAGACACATCATTATGCATGCTGGAAGTGGAATTTATATATGTAAGATATATGGGAAAGCCTTTGTTGTTCCCAGTGTATTTCATATGCATGACAGAAGTCACACAGGAGAGAAACCCTATGAATGTGAGTAACGTAGTAAAGCTTTCAGTTGTTCCAACTCTTTTTTTGAATACATAAAATGTTTTACACTGTGGAGAAACCCTGTAAGTATCAGCATGGTGGTAAAACCTGTTGTTCAAAGTACATTGCAATAGATAAAAGGACTCCCAGTGGACAGAAACCATATGAATGTAAGGAATATGGGAAAGTTTTCATTGGTTCCAGTTCCTGTCGAAAACTAGAAAGAACTCATGCTATTAATGTGTGAGAGAAATGCTATTATTGTAAGAAATTTGGAAAGCAGTCTGTTGTCCACTTCCTTTCAAGCAAAGGAAAAGAGAGTGGAGAAAGAAACCATGAGTTAATTGACTTTGAGTTAAGAAGAGAGATCTATGATAGGACAATAACATCTAGTAGATGTTAGTTAGATGTAGTTAGAGTTGAATTTCTGGATTGTTATGTCAGTGTTGGTAATTTTTGGAATTTTTGGAATTTTTGGAATTTTTTCCCAGAATCCATTCCAGTTATGATTCTATGATAGAATTCGCCAATAACATGTCAGACATGAAGAACACATTGGTTACATTTTGGAGACCCCATACAGGGAGACAGATTAATACAGGCTTTTCCAATACCTTCTCCCAGCCCATTTTTTCATTTCTTTGCCTTGCCAATCAAAACGATCCTCAAAAATCACTTGATGTTCATTTCCTCAGAGGTGTGGATTTCCAAAGATGTCTCCAAACGCTCCACATTA